ATGTGATAGATTTTGACAAAAGCACGTTCATCATTTTCATCATTGCTGAATTCACTTGTGACCATGATTTTAATGAAGCCCATCATTGTTCCAGGTCCACACAACAGTTTCGTGGTTGAAGAGGCATGTAATATTGTGCTCATCATCATCATCATCACCGTTGCGGAAGATTATGAACGACCTAATTGTGGAAGATGTGTTGCGTATCATGATTGCGTTGGTAGCTGACAAAACAACGAACGAATAATCTGTTCCAGGTTTTCTTTGCACTACACAATGCGGTATTATCACAACGATCCGCCAATCACAATGAAATTAAACGCATTCGCAGTTATGCAAGTCTAGTAACGTCACACAGAAAAGAAATTTCTTTTCCAAGCAAACACGTATAATTCCCCTAATCGATTATAGCTATTGATATCGCTACAAGCAGTCTCCCTTGTCACGATGCATAATGGTTCCGCTTGAACAACGAACGAATAATTAGTTCCAGGTTTTCTTTGCACTATACAATGCGGTATTATCACAACGATTCGCCAATCACAATGAAATTAAACGCATTCGCAGTTATGCAAGTCTAGTAACGTCACACAGAAAAGAAATTTCTTTTCCAAGCAAACACGTATAATTCCCCTAATCGATTATCGCTATTGATATCGCTACAAGCAGTCTCCCTTGTCACGATGCATGATGGTTCCGCTCGAATATGCGAGCCTATGCATAACCGCGCATCGATTCATCGGAGCGAATTTTCGTTGCGAACGCGGTTGCAGAACGTGCGAGTAAAATCGCAGCACAATGATAAATACACACAAAAATGGTAACGCACGTNCGAGTAAAATCGCAGCACAATGATAAATACACACAAAAATGGTAACGCACGTAGTCGAACGGAGGAAGATTAATGTTCCGGTGGTAAGGCCGAAGGAATGTGAGACGCATACAAATATGTTTCTCGTCGAGCGTAGCGTTCGAGCCGCCGCGATAAAGCAACACGCGAGCCGACGCGTCGGTGCGCACGATCGCGCGGTCGGATCCGGCGTTTCCCGTTCGACAATTTGGAATCGACGTCCCCTTATCTGTCGCATAACCTCGGCTGCACGGCGGGACATGAACAGGCGATTTGCAAAAATCATGGCTTCGGCGCGGCGCCGCGGTGCGCGTAAATCTCGGCGATACGCGATGCAATCTGCAACGAGACTCTCGGGATCCGAACGAGTTCCTCACTTTCTCCGCACGTGCGAAGATTATCCAGCGAATTATTCAGCGCCAGCCGATCGTTAGGATTCACTTGATCTCCGTGGCGCGCTGCGAGATTTTTTCGTACCGGAATTACGACCGATGTTTCCGGCCCATTTGCCACCGTTCTCGACGCGCCGCGTCGCGCCGGCCTTACGTATAATTATTTGCAGGTCGGAAACGGATTGCCCGACCGAATTCGGGTACATAGAAACGCCGGAATAGCTGCGGCATTCCTAACGCTCCAATGACTGTTGCGCTTTGCGATAGAATCGTACAATCGGCACGGGCAACACCGCAACGATTCGGTATTACTCCGGCCGAAACGATTCGCAAAAAGCGCCTGCAGCCCTTAATCCGATAACTGTAGCATCTGAAAGCACATTCGCCCGCGATAATCGTCCTCCGCTCTTAACGGTTATCGTTGCTGCCGTGCGCACTCGAAATGATCGTATCTACCTGCCCTTTCACAACCGGTGGAGATATTCAAGGGTATGCTAATCGTCTCCTCAAGGAGGTACTCATCTTCTACAGGACCTCCGTTCCAGCAATGCTCCAGATTTCTCAACACGAAAGAATTCTGGAAATTATTTGCTGTCATTTCGAAATGTAATCATCTGCAAAATTTACCTTCAAGTCGACTTGACTCGATCTCGCAAACATTCCTCAAACTTTTTGGTTTTTTTAAGCCTATTTATTTATACAGTCTGTCTGATGACATTTAGTAACATTGATATCATTGTGCAATGATGTGGTTAATGTTTAGGTACTTCTTACTTATGGTTAGTACCTATTTCGTGATACACTGCAGAAGAATAACACAATGTAAAAGAAAAGACTATTCAGGGTGTCCCAAAATTATGCTATTTCCAGGAAACAAGGGGTTCCTGAGGTCATTTGAAGTAACTTTTTCCTTA